CTTTTATAGCGACTCGGTCACAGTTCTCCATTGGTTACATTCCTCTCATCTCTCTAAGTCTATTTTTGTGCGGAACCGTCTGATGAAAGCTAAAGATATGCACACAGAGTTGTGCAAGTCCTTCACTGTCACCTTCTCGTATATACCCACAAAAATGAACCCAGCTGACCTCGCTTCTGGAGGTAGTCCTGCGTTCTCATTGAAGTCTGACACCTTGTGGTGGTCTGGACCATCAGAATGCAGAGAATCTCCCAGTCCATTTAAACCAGATGAGGTTCCCTTTTCTTTCTCTCTCTCTACACTCACTCCTTCCGCATCCGTCCTAACCATGACCGCAAAGGTCCAAGCTGAAGACCCTTTAGATCCCTCTCTCTCTTCCTCATATCCCAAGTATCTAAAACGTTGCCTAGGGGCTTCTATTTTGATCAGGCTACTCCATAAACATCTCAAACATCGACCAGATCTCCAGGGGAAGTTAACGAGTGCCCACCCTTGGCTGCAGTTGTCTCACAACTGCACCTCTGCTAGTCACGTAGCGGAAGTAATAGCCATGATGAAACATCAATTTAGTTGTGAAGATTCTCTCGCTCGCTCCTTACAACTCAAAGATGTATCCTATGACTAGTTTGGGCTTTTCGTACTACGAGGCCGTCTCCCCCTAGTTGGAACTAACTCTCATCCGTGGATAATAGACTGCAACTCGTTTCTCTGCTCTCTCCTCACGGTCCACTTTCACCAACAGTTCCAACATGCTGGAGTTGCCCAAGTGGTAGTGTTACTTCCAGAACGTTTTTGGCCTCTCCCTGCACGAAACAGCGTAAGAAAAGTGTTGAAAGGGTGCGTTCAGTGTAAGAGATTTCATGGTAGACCGTATGCATTACCTCCCTCTAGATGTCTACCCGCTCTGAGAACAACACCATCTGCCCCCTTTTCTCATATTGGTTTGGATGAGGCCGGGCCATTTAGACTACAGCGTGAAGGTAGCCTTGAACAGACGCATGTCCTTCTCATCACTTGCTTGTCATCAAGAGCAGTGCAGCTGGAAATGTTACCTGATCTTTCAGCTAAAGAGATAGCGCTCGCGCTTAGGAGAG